GGCTACAAGACACTCTTTATTTACATGATCATCTACTGGTTTTCCACAGCACCTGCCTCATTCAGGGCACAAGCTGCATGGCACGCAGCAAACAAGACAGCTGCTCACGGTGTGTTCCCTGCCTCATTCATTGAACAAGGGCTGGGGCAGAGGGCTTGCAGAGGAAATGGCGTGTGACCACAAAATTAAAGACTACACCACAATGCACATATTCAAGAGGCAGAGTTAAGGTTGGCTGGACAACCTCACTTTTGGCACTTCCTGGCTTTGGGGGGCTTGACCATGTGGATATAATGTTCTTTCAACAGCGTCTGGAATCTCCTTGATTTTGAAGAAAACGGAGGTTATTAAACAGGATTCTCCCATGCGGCCAGTCAACTGGCTTCTTTCTCTCTGTCCCGACAAAGTCCCGCTGAAGTCAGCCACTGCTCCTCCGTCTTGGCCTGGGCCCCTAACACGATGGGCTCGTGTTCCTCCATCTTCATCTATAGGGGAAGCAACTGCCCCTGCCCCGCTCCTCCATCCCAGCCTGCAGCCCCAAGACCGGGGACCCCCGCCCCCTGTTGCCCTGCAGGCTAATATCACAGCGACACCGCCACACCGACTTCCCCAGGCATTTAATATTAACAGTAATCGAAGATGCCAGGGGACAGGCTAGCGCTGGCCCCTCCCTGCTGTCCTCCTGCCCGCAGCGGACAGAGCCTGGTTTCCTGTAGCCCAGGAGGCAGCAGGCTCCCAGGACAAACGACCCCACTCCAAGCTCAACTTCAGGCTCCCACCAGCCTCTTCGTGCTCCCACCAGTGCCCTCAAGCCGAGCACCCCGGCTGTGACTCCCCTCCTCCCCGTCTCTTCCTCCCCGTGGCTGGGCATTGGGCTTCCCCTTCGCACGCGCTGCTTGCAAACCCTTTGCCCGTGGGGTCGTGGGACTGGGCCGCCGGGGGAAGGAGAGAAGTGGCGCTTGGGGACAAGGGGGCAGCAGCCGTGATGGGAGCCTTCGACCGGTTCCCCCGCGGGGCGGCTTCGGCAGCAGTGATACGGAACGGCCGGGGTTAGCCGCCCTCTGCCTGGGGAAGGGTTCATGCTTCCACCAGCAGAAGCACTCTGGGAAGGGCTTTCCCCGGGCTGGCTGTCCGGTGGCGGCTGCCTTTGCGTGGCTTGCCGTTTCAAAGACAGGGAGAGATCTTTAAAAAGCCAGGGTGCCCCAAACCCCTCCCGGAGCAACGACTGGCACCAGCCCAGCCCACACCCTTCCGGTTTCAGTTCAGGACTCAAGAAGAAGCAAAACACAGCTGCTGAAGGGTGGGGAGACTCTCCCAGGGGAAGCCGTGGGCCTGAACCGTCCGTTGCAATGCATCTTCCCCGCCCCCTCCCTGGGGTTCGGCCGCAGCCAGCCAGGTGACGGCGGAGGTGGTGTCTGCTTCAGTAGTGCACCCCGGAGAGGCAGGGCCAGGTCCTGCGCCCGTTACCAGCGGATTCATTTTCCTTACATACACCACAGTCGCGTATTGGTTTGTGGCTGCTGTTGGCTTTGCCTCAGGAGAACTGGCACGCGCTCCAGGAGCTCCCCCCTGGTCTCTACGCGGCCCCGGCCGGGTGAGCAGGGACAACGCCATGTGACTTGTGTGTACCCGGACTCTCCGGCTGGCTCTCCCCTCTCCCAAAAGGACCTGGTGACAAGGCCCCCGGGGAGCTCTCCCTGCCCCGCTGGCTCCAGCTGTCCCTCCCCACGCACGTCTTACAGGGCTGCTCTCTCCGCCCTGTGGGGTCCGGAGCGAAGCTTTGCAGCCCCTCCCTTTGCCCGTGGCATCAGTAAGGGAAGGGTGGCACAGCGGGGGACA